CTTTACAAAAACGTGAAAAAGCAGCTGTGACCAAGCTATCACGAGGTGAGTAGCATTGTAAGCATAATTAATAGCGATATACTTCAGTTTGTCTGTGTGTTTTTGTATGCAAGCGGGTCTGCTGCGGTCTGCTGACGGTCCAAAATGGCGGCGGTAGGACGAAACCATGGGGGAATTTGTTGCTATGGGGCGTTCTATTGAACTTCGCCTCTTGGTATCCATGCTCTTTGGTTTAGTGGCTGTTTTGGTAAGGAACCGGAACCAGGGCGAGAGAGACAGGATCCGGAATCCGATGGATGCGCCTTTCCGTCAAAATAAAAGCACCAAGGGGCATAAGAGAGAGGAAAACTGCGTGATGCTCGCCATGTAGCATCCTCTATCAACCACAACAACAACAACAACAACAACAACAACAATATGGCACTAAGACGGAAATCGATGGTGCGCCAGAATTTAAAGTTTTACTTTGGTGAATTTGGTGAATTCCGGATCCGCTCTCTGGACCGGAACCAGAATCCAGACAAAATTCAGAGTGAATGGAAACCAGGCTCTTCGCTGTATGTGAAGAGCCTGGTGACGCGAGGCTAGGTAATCTCAGAGTCAGGCGGGTAAATATAGACAATGTAGGCAGTGCGGTTGACCTGGGGTCGGCTTGGACCTACACCTGTGTTCAAAGAAGAACTCACATTAAATTCAAAATGGTGCCATTCGCTACCACCTTATTCCTAGCCCCCATGTTAACTTGTGTGAATAATGGGTGTGGCGTCCGGTTTTGAACCAAACCAGTGATTTCCAATGGTAAGTTTGTTTACAGTACTCTATTCTTCTTTCAAAGAGCAATTGGGAAATAAAACATGGAACACACCACCTGTTATAGCTCAAAGGGGATTATTATGTGATCATACCTCGGCCATCTCTGGCAGCCATCTCAAAGCACTGTTTTTTCCTTCTCAACTGAGCACGCTAGCAATTAGCTTGCCTTGCTCCGTTAAAGTATTGTTAACTTTAACCTGGCCTGAGCTAGCTTAAGGTAAACATCTGCTCCTTCTAAAGATGATTTTTGATTTCTGATAACTTATTAAGATATACTAACATATTCAGCAAACATGTAGCATAATTCAGTATTAACTGTAGCTCGATGTAAAGTGAACAAATGTGATGTTTCCCAGCTAATCCTCCGTTAGTCTGTGTTAACGATGAGCGAAAAATGATGCTGAATTTAGCAGCAGACTTCCGTAATAGTAATATAAAGTAGTAGTAAAATAAATAACTTTTGGCATTCATTTTTTATATGACATAAAGGAAATACGGTAAATCAGTAACACATTCTCAGCCCTAATGACTAAATACATATTTCAATGTATGTTGCTGAGTTTATTTAATAACAAGCAATTATCTAATGTAGGTTGAGAATGAAGTCAGACAGGGAAAGACGAAGATATCATGTACTGTCAGTCTAGGTCTCATTCTCTACTGCAAATTATGATTAAATACTTTTTCGCTATGTCTGGTAAAACTCTTGTGGTTTTATTTCTCTTAGCAGTGGTACCTTTGGCAACAGGAACAATCCCTTTTTGTTCTGGTTACATGTTCAACACACAGTTGCTGGAGACAAAAATTTAGCTTAGACTGGCTGTTAGTCGTTACAAACACGGACAGTGCAACAGGTACCAGAGCTCCGCAAAGACATTTTAGAAAATGCTAAGTTAACATTAGTTAAATATTTGTTAAAAAATGTATTAGTATTTGCTGAACTGAAGGCAAATTACTTTGGAAAAGAACCAGCGTTGGCGGTTAAGGCACAAATTCTGTCAAGACTGACAAGCTGAGCACATCTGTGAGTCCAGCGACCAGTCATGCCTTTTAGACATAAAAGCAGCAGTAAGAAAGGACAAGAGAGAGGTCAAGGTCAAGAATGAAGGCAAAAAGTTCACTGTATGTACTGTATGTTATGGGCTATGGTAAGTATGTCTGTGTGTAGGCTATGTGGCTATGATCTGTAATAATGTAAAGGTCAAAATACCTCTGCTAACCTGATCAGCAAAAACTTGAACTGATGGCTTTTATGCATTTTATCCTTACAAAGAAAGACTAAATTGGCCACCTTTTCTAATGATAACAGGACACATTGCCCATGAGCAAGACACTTGACATTTCGACAGAACTCAATTAATGTAAACTGAAGAAAGAGACAAAAAGATCAGATAAGTTTATCTTTAAGAAATGCACTTTTATTAAGCAATACAATACATTTCAGATGCATAGCACATACATAACAAACACCTGGTTTTGAAGCTTGTTTTAATCAGATATGTTTCAGCCAAGCATGCCAGATGTCTTGGCCTTCAAAAAAAGCTTGCGTAAAAAAATGTTTCATATGTACCGTTTCAAGCATAAAAGCACATTTATCATACACTCACAATTGTGTACTCAAATTCAAAGAAGTAACTAATGAACAAAATGATTAATACTTTGCATAAAGTAAGTGTTCACTGATGTCAACTGTAAATTTGGTGCTTTCCGACAGACTATGTAAGCCCAGTCAAATAACTGATTTATTTTGGTCGCTAAAATGAGATACATTACGCCACGGAGACCAGATTAACACATTCGCGTCACCTGTTTTGTTTGACCATTTGGCCATTTTTTGACAATTGTGCATTGATTTTAATATATTTTTTCCTTTTGAGCTCTATTGTTGTCATTAAATGTAAAATCATTTCTATTTCTTCCACCAAGATTTTGATTTCTGCACCTTTTTTGGATTTTACGACCTTGTCAAAAAGTAGAACTGCAGAATGAGCCTTACTCTCATTATATTCAAAGTGCCTTAATGTGTTTTGTTTGCCTTTATGTATTATGTAAAGTGCATGTTTTTATTTGTTACGTAGAAAATTCAGTAAATATATTTGTCAAAAAAAAGACTTAAACAGTTCATTTATTATAAAGATGATTATAAAGGTTACATTTCTGTAGATTAACTAATCTATAAATCCAATATAGATATCAAAAGGTGCAATATACTTTCTATGAGCAATAATGTGAATTCAGCCATTCAGCCTGTCTGTTTATTACATTTTGCTTTTACTATTTATTGATTTTATTGCTCTGTTTTCACTAATACATACATATTACATTGCTCTGCATTTTTACTGATGTGTCTTTTTTTGCTTACCTTACCTTACCTTACCTTACCTGACCTTGACTTACCTTACCTTACTTTACCTTATCTTAAAACCATGTTTGAACGTGACAAAGATGAAGTAGGGTTTCTATGACGCTATTGTCCACTTCTTGTTGTTTCCTCCGACAGTAGCA